CGCTTTGTTTGTAACTCTGTATTGTCCGTACTGTTCTTTTGCTATTTTGTAAATGGTTGTCTGTCTGTTAATGTTTTCCTCCTTTTATTTCTAAAATAAAAAAAAAAGATGTGGTCTTTTTACACAATGGAGTACTAATCAGCCATAAAGAAGGATATACTTAAGACTTTTATGGGTAAATGGATGCAACTAGAAAACATACACATAAGTGAAATAAATCAGACTCACACGTGTAGACATAATATTGTCTCCCTGGTATGTGAAAGTGAAAGAGTAAATAAGATCTAAAATATATAATAGATATGAAATGAGAGAAAATTGTTTAAAGGGAAAAAGGAACTAGGATGGGGGAAATGGGAAAGGAAGGGAGAGAAAAAGGAAAAAAATGTAAGTTAGCTATACTATTAATATCTTTTAGTTCACTGAAAAGAAGGGTTTGTGCTAATAAACGAGTGGAGAATTTTTTCTGCCCATACCTTGTACTCTGAGTAACTACTTTGAAGATGACAATGTGCAACTTATTAACTATTATTCTCCTAATATTTTGTTAGGAATTTCTGCTTTACCTTTTTTCCATGAAATAAAAAATATGTGCAATGTACAATAGGTAGATAGAGCTAATTTGCATGTATCACTTCCTAATTATCATTTTATGGTGAAAACACTTAAAATATACTTTGTTAGCATTTTTCAAAAACACAATACATTTTTATCAACAATCACAATGTTGGGCAAAACATCTTTTGAACTTACTTGTGTTGAGCAAATTTTAAAAGGTACATTAGAGATAGTATGTTGTAGTTGGATGAGCATAAAGTCATGATGATATTTGACTCTGCAATATTGTGTTTTTAATCAATTTGAAATTTCATTTCTGGGCCTGAAAAATGAAGGGGTTGGACTAAGTTATGGGCAGTATTCTACACTTCCATCTGTGTATACTTCCATCTGCCCATCTATGCTTCCGTGTGTTCATCCAGTGACCTTCCCCAAGAACCTGCTGTGAAAGATGCTCCCTTAATTGCTAGGAATTAAATAAGAATTTGTTCTAGACTTAACTGTAGTCACCTAAATTTATTACACTGTGAATAGTGCAGTCTAAATTTAATTTGTTCCATATTTACACATATTCACTATTTTGCAAATATTCATTGGCTACTGTTTTATTGTATAGAATATTTTTCTACTGCAAAAAGCTTTCAGGTAATTTCCATAAAAACTGGTACCAATGATTCACATATAAAATGGTCATGTTAATGTACTGGTTTACATGTCTGTGTTCCTGGGAGCTGACTTTGGAGGTAACTTATCATATATCTTTGGCTTTGGGCTGGTTTCAGCCAACAGGAAACACCAGCAGGAGATGACAGGGTTAGAAGACACTGGTTAGATTTATTCCCTGTCACTTCCCTACTGGCTGTGGTTTGGAATTGGCTGCATGCCTTAGGTTTGGCCATCTTCTCATTCTGTGAGCTCCAGACTCTTTCCAGGGTCTGGCAGCACTCCCTGTTCTCACAGATGCTTCCTCTCCTATCTCCTTTTATGCTTAAGGGTAGTAATGGCTACCACTGTTGCTAACCTGAGGACGCTTTAGCATTCCATGTTGGTTTTCATTAATTCTGCCCATATCTTTATAAGTAAATGCTTCTATTTTTTAAGTTTTCCTTTGACTTTGGCAACTATTTGCCATCCTGGCCATGACTTTTGTATAATCATTTAACGGAAAGTAATAACTAAGTACCTCTGTATATGAAAATAATAAATACAGAACTCTTTATATGATCCTTGGCTAGGGAGAAAGGGAATCATGGGAGAAAAATGATTACTAACCACAGCTAATTACTTGAGGAACTGGAGGATGGGAAAGAAATTTCAGGAGGATAAAAGGAGCTGGCCTACATCAGCTGTTCAAATATTTATAAAACATTGAAAGAACTTTATCATAATATCAGCAGTTAGATTTACCTCTACTAACCCAAACGGTGTTTTTTGTTCTAGAAGTTAGTATCATCTAGTCTAATTAAGTGAATAATCTAAATAAATACACAAATTGTTGAAAGACTTTAAGAAAATTTTTATACTGTGATTTTCTGGGTTCTGTCTTAGTAATCCTTTCATTTGACTGAACACAGTGCCTTCATTTCAGTGGCTTCCTGTGGCCACTGGAAAAATAAAAGTCATAATGAATTGTTTTCTTGGGTAAAGGATTAAGCAATGTTAGAATTATTTAAAAATTTCCCTGAAGAATGGATCCTAGTCATGGCTAAATTTACTGAGATAAACAGTAAGGAGTTTTAGTTAGAGTATTATCTTTCCATGATTTGGAAAGTAGAAGTAAATTGAATCAAATCATATAAATGCAATCTTTTGGATAGAACCTAAAAATTACTTGGCGGATACTGATTGCACGAGACTCTAGGGAAAATCAAGGAACATAATTTATTGTGATTATGTGAGAAGCCAACTAACAGCTAGTCATTATATGTTTTCCATTGTTTGTTGCACCAGGATACTGTTCCCTGTGAAAATTCTTAATTGATTTGTTTTAGAATGGCATGCAATCTTTTCTTTACTCATTGGGAAAAATATGACATACATTAGCTGTTCTCCTTTTAAGAGGAGTCTTAAGAGGCAGGGCGATTGCAAATTTGAGTCTAGCCTGAGCAATTTAAAGATTTATGGGGGGTGTATTTAGCTCAGAAGCAAAGCACCTGCCTGGCAAGAGCAAGGTCATGAGTTCAATTCTTGGTACCAGAAGA